TTACCCACAACAGTCGCTTTTCCTAGGCTGAACCATGGAAAAAATAAATGCAAATTAAGAGATTTCATTCCCACGCTACTCCCTGGTTACACACAACAGTCGCATTTCCCAGGCTAAACCATGGCAAAAAAAATTGCAAATTTAGAGATTTCATTCCCTGGGTAAACCCTGGTTGCACACAACAGTCGCTTTTCCCAGGCTAAACCATGGCAAAAATAAATGCAAATTCAGAGATTTAATTCCCTGGCTACACCCTGGTTGCACACAACAGTCGCTTTTCCCAGGCTAAACCATGGCAAAAATAAATTCAAATTCAGAGATTTCATTTCCTGGGTACACCCTGGTTGCACACAACAGTCGCTTTTCCCAGGCTAAACCATGGCAAAAATAAATGCAAATTCAGAGATTTAATTCCCTGGCTACACCCTGGTTGCACACAACAGTCGCTTTTCCCAGCCTTAACCATGGCAAAAATAATTTCAAATTAACAGATTTCATTCCCTGGCTACACCCGGGCTACACACAACAGTCGCTTTTCCCAGGCTAAACCATGGGAAAAATAAATGCAAATTAAGAGATTTCATTCCCACGCTACTCCCTGGTTACACACAACAGTCGCATTTCCCAGGCTAAACCATGGCAAAAATAATTGCAAATTCAGAGATTTCATTCCCTGGGTAAACCCTGGTTGCACACAACAGTCGCTTTTCCCAGGCTAAACCATGGCAAAAATAAATGCAAATTCAGAGATTTAATTCCCTGGCTACACCCTGGTTGCACACAACAGTCGCTTTTCCCAGGCTAAACCATGGCAAAAATAAATGCAAATTCAGAGATTTAATTCCCTGGCTACACCCTGGTTGCACACAACAGTCGCTTTTCCCAGGCTAAACCATGGCAAAAATAAATTCAAATTCAGAGATTTCATTCCCTGGGTACACCCTGGTTGCACACAACAGTCGCTTTTCCCAGGCTAAACCATGGCAAAAATAAATGCAAATTCAGAGATTTAATTCCCTGGCTACACCCTGGTTGCACACAACAGTCGCTTTTCCCAGACTTAACCATGGCAAAAATAATTTCAAATTTAGATATTTCACTCCCTGGGTACACCCTGGTTACCCACAACAGTCGCTTTTCCCAGACTTAACCATGGCAAAAATAAATAAAAATTAAGAGATTTCATTCCCACGCTACTCTCTGGTTACACACAACAGTCGCATTTCCCAGGCTAAACCATGGCAAAAATAATTGCAAATTTAGAAATTTTATTCCCTGGGTAAACCCTGGTTGCACACAACAGTCGCTTTTCCCAGGCTAAACCATGGCAAAAATAAATGCAAATTCAGAGATTTAATTCCCTGGCTACACCCTGGTTGCACACAACAGTCGCTTTTCCCAGGCTAAACCATGGCAAAAATAAATTCAAATTCAGAGATTTCATTCCCTGGGTACACCCTGGTTGCACACAACAGTCGCATTTCCCAGGCTAAACCATGGCAAAAAAAATTGCAAATTTAGAGATTTCATTCCCTGGGTAAACCCTGGTTGCACACAACAGTCGCTTTTCCCAGGCTAAACCATGGCAAAAATAAATGCAAATTCAGAGATTTAATTCCCTGGCTACACCCTGGTTGCACACAACAGTCGCTTTTCCCAGGCTAAACCATGGCAAAAATAAATTCAAATTCAGAGATTTCATTTCCTGGGTACACCCTGGTTGCACACAACAGTCGCTTTTCCCAGGCTGAACCATGGCAAAAATAAATGCAAATTCAGAGATTTAATTCCCTGGCTACACCCTGGTTGCACACAACAGTCGCTTTTCCCAGCCTTAACCATGGCAAAAATAATTTCAAATTAACAGATTTCATTCCCTGGCTACACCCGGGCTACACACAACAGTCGCTTTTCCCAGGCTAAACCATGGGAAAAATAAATGCAAATTAAGAGATTTCATTCCCACGCTACTCCCTGGTTACACACAACAGTCGCATTTCCCAGGCTAAACCATGGCAAAAATAATTGCAAATTCAGAGATTTCATTCCCTGGGTAAACCCTGGTTGCACACAACAGTCGCTTTCCCCAGGCTAAACCATGGCAAAAATAAATGCAAATTCAGAGATTTAATTCCCTGGCTACACCCTGGTTGCACACAACAGTCGCTTTTCCCAGGCTAAACCATGGCAAAAATAAATGCAAATTCAGAGATTTAATTCCCTGGCTACACCCTGGTTGCACACAACAGTCGCTTTTCCCAGGCTAAACCATGGCAAAAATAAATTCAAATTCAGAGATTTCATTCCCTGGGTACACCCTGGTTGCACACAACAGTCGCTTTTCCCAGGCTAAACCATGGCAAAAATAAATGCAAATTCAGAGATTTAATTCCCTGGCTACACCCTGGTTGCACACAACAGTCGCTTTTCCCAGACTTAACCATGGCAAAAATAATTTCAAATTTAGATATTTCACTCCCTGGGTACACCCTGGTTACCCACAACAGTCGCTTTTCCCAGACTTAACCATGGCAAAAATAAATGGAAATTAAGAGATTTCATTCCCACGCTACTCCCTGGTTACACACAACAGTCGCATTTCCCAGGCTAAACCATGGCAAAAATAATTGCAAATTTAGAGATTTCATTCCCTGGGTAAACCCTGGTTGCACACAACAGTCGCTTTTCCCAGGCTAAACCATGGCAAAAATAAATGCAAATTCAGAGATTTAATTCCCTGGCTACACCCTGGTTGCACACAACAGTCGCTTTTCCCAGGCTAAACCATGGCAAAAATAAATTCAAATTCAGAGATTTCATTCCCTGGGTACACCCTGGTTGCACACAACAGTCGCTTTTCCCAGGCTAAACCATGGCAAAAATAAATGCAAATTCAGAGATTTAATTCCCTGGCTACACCCAGGTTGCACACAACAGTCGCTTTTCCCAGACTTAACCATGGCAAAAATAATTTCAAATTTAGATATTTCACTCCCTGGGTACACCCTGGTTACCCACAACAGTCGCTTTTCCTAGGCTGAACCATGGAAAAAATAAATGCAAATTAAGAGATTTCATTCCCACGCTACTCCCTGGTTACACACAACAGTCGCATTTCCCAGGCTAAACCATGGCAAAAAAAATTGCAAATTTAGAGATTTCATTCCCTGGGTAAACCCTGGTTGCACACAACAGTCGCTTTTCCCAGGCTAAACCATGGCAAAAATAAATGCAAATTCAGAGATTTAATTCCCTGGCTATACCCTGGTTGCACACAACAGTCGCTTTTCCCAGCCTTAACCATGGCAAAAATAATTTCAAATTAACAGATTTCATTCCCTGGCTACACCCGGGCTACACACAACAGTCGCTTTTCCCAGCCTTAACCATGGCAAAAATAATTTCAAATTAACAGATTTCATTCCCTGGCTACACCGTGGTTGCACACAACAGTCGCTTTTCCCAGGCTAAACCATGGCAAAAATAAATTCAAATTCAGAGATTTCATTTCCTGGGTACACCCTGGTTGCACACAACAGTCGCTTTTCCCAGGCTAAACCATGGCAAAAATAAATGCAAATTCAGAGATTTAATTCCCTGGCTACACCCTGGTTGCACACAACAGTCGCTTTTCCCAGCCTTAACCATGGCAAAAATAATTTCAAATTAACAGATTTCATTCCCTGGCTACACCCGGGCTACACACAACAGTCGCTTTTCCCAGGCTAAACCATGGGAAAAATAAATGCAAATTAAGAGATTTCATTCCCACGCTACTCCCTGGTTACACACAACAGTCGCATTTCCCAGGCTAAACCATGGCAAAAATAATTGCAAATTCAGAGATTTCATTCCCTGGGTAAACCCTGGTTGCACACAACAGTCGCTTTTCCCAGGCTAAACCATGGCAAAAATAAATGCAAATTCAGAGATTTAATTCCCTGGCTACACCCTGGTTGCACAGAACAGTCGCTTTTCCCAGGCTAAACCATGGCAAGAATAATTTCAAATTATCAGATTTCATTCCCTGGCTACACCCTGGTTTCACACAACAGTCGCCTTTCCCAGACTTAACCATGGCAAAAATAAATGCAAATTCAGAGATTTAATTCCCTGGCTACACCCTGGTTGCACACAACAGTCGCTTTTCCCAGCCTTAACCATGGCAAAAATAATTTCAAATTAACAGATTTCATTCCCTGGCTACACCCGGGCTACACACAACAGTCGCTTTTCCCAGGCTAAACCATGGGAAAAATAAATGCAAATTAAGAGATTTCATTCCCACGCTACTCCCTGGTTACACACAACAGTCGCATTTCCCAGGCTAAACCATGGCAAAAATAATTGCAAATTCAGAGATTTCATTCCCTGGCTACACCCAGGTTGCACACAACAGTCGCTTTTCCCTGGCTAAACCATGGCAAAAATAATTGCAAATTAAGAGATTTCATTCCCTGGGTACACCCTGGTTGCACACAACAGTCTCTTTTCCCAGACTTAACCATGGCAAAAATAATTTCAAATTTAGAGATTTTATTTCCTGTCTAAACCCTGGTTGCACATAACTGTCGCTTTCCTATGTAAAATCATGGCAAAATAATTTTCAAATTAAGATATTTTATTTCCTGGCTGAATCTTGGTTGCACTTAAAAGTCGCTTTTTTAAGAAAAACCATGTCAAAAATAATTTTTTGATTAAGAGATTTCTTTCCTTTGCTAATTCCTGGTTACTCACTACTCTTGCTTTTTTAAGGCCGAACCATCGCTTAACTCTGGTTTTCCTGTTTTTTACCTTCTTAATGTGAATTGTTTTTTTCTATGGAGAATCTACTAGATTTTTTATTTATTTGCTTTTAGAAATTAAGTATTCTTTTTGCTTTTTAAGTTTATTTAAACTGTATTTTATTTTTTAATATTTTAAACAAAATTTTTTTTAATAATATAATTAATTTTTAATTGTTAACACGAATAGAATTGTTTTTCTTTTCTTCATTATTTTTAATGCTTCCTTTTTTTGGCAACTGGTGATTCTGAATCTGGTTGTATAGGTTGTTCACTGTTAAAAAAACATTTGATTAGCGCTGTATTATTAGGATGTTAATTTTTAAATTATTATATAATAATTTATTAAGATGTGTTTGGACGTTTTGAATTTTATAACATTTTAAAGATTATTTATTTTTTGAATTAATGAATAGTAGTTAGTAAAATTAAGATAATGTCGTTTGCGACAGGTGGGACAATAATTTAATAGATTTAAATACTTTGTTTAATTTTTGAATAAAATGTTACAGATTTTATATAATTTTTTTTCTAAATATCGATTCTAAATTCTTGTTTACTGAACGAGAAATACCTAACATTTTCTTCATCCTGATTTTCAGAATCCTTGTCTTCCTGATCAGTATTTTCGTCATTACTATCTGCGCATTTGTCATCCTTATTTCCATCGATTTCATCATTCTGTTCATCACGATTATCATTATTGTTATTTACTTTACGAATTTTCTTCACCTTTTCATTTGCTGGCTTTTCTTTTTTCGGATTTCGCAAAGTACAGCATTGGTTGTTAATTGTGTCGATAAACTTTTCATATGTAAATCCTTTTGCTTTAAGTTTAACATAATTTAAACAATATTGCAAATTGTCAGTCAAGACTACTTATAAGAATTATTGAAATTTCAAAATAATTTCAATTTGAATTAAATTTAATTAAAATACATTTAATTCCGCTGCCAAATTTTATATTTTTGTTATAATTTTGTTGTTCATTTCATAAACACTTTGCTTCCTCATAAAAATATCCATAATTGAAATATAGTTATTCTTCTCCATAATCTTGTTAAAAATCATTAAATTATTTACCAAAAAGTATGTTTCTATACATTCTATATGATGGTTATAATTGTTTAATAATTACACAAAAGTTAATAAAGAAGAAAGTTTTGAAAATACTAATAATGTTATAATTTCTAACTAATCTTGTTCAAAAATAGGTCAATTAAAGCGTTTTTTTATACGTTAGAAATTGGTAAGGATATTTTTAAAGTTTCTGATACATTTTTTAACAAAATTTCCAAAAGTACTATTTTTCAAAATTTGAAATTTTTAAATATGGACGAAAATATGGCTAATAAGGACAAAAAATGAGCAACAGAGGCTCAAAAGACACATTTGAAAAAATGATTAAAAAATATTTACTTTTTTTAACTTATGAGCAAAAAACGTTTCTTTGAAAAATTAAAAATCTAAAAAATGTAGTTAAACTTTATGAATTGGGATAAAACTTCTTTCATTCTATGTCCCCTGGAAGACATGAAATTAAAAATGAATCCTTTAGCTCTTTCTCGGTTTGAGATATTGTTAATATACACATACATGGACATTTTTCAAACTTTTGAGATAAAATTATATGGAAACATGTCAAAAAATAGCAATCGAAAATTTTGCCAATACATCCTTCCCCTATGAGAAAGCAATTAATTAAAAAAGCAATATTTTTAAAAAATACACACTGTACACAGCATTTCTAATCTCCTCAGGTACAGCTTTTCCCGTTTTTCCACCTCTTGCAAAGCCAAGTGCAGTCATAGTCTTTAGCTCTTCTCGCCCTACTAATTCTAATAGCAAACGACGAACCATTTCTTCTGGCCTTTTTTTAAATCTCGTAAATTCTACTTCTTTAGATTTGTTGAATACAATGTCCCCATTTTTTATCATCAGTGACGATGATGATGTTGAAGCAATATTGTTCGTGGATGAAGGAATCAAGAACTATATTTTTGTATGAATTTAATAAAAGTATAGTTAATTTACACTTACACATGCCTAAGCTGATAAAATAATACTGTAAAATGTAACTAACTGGATTAGTCGCAGATTCATCTCCACCTAATTTTGCCTGAGCGTAAACTGCAAGCTGCTGCAGGAACACAGCAATTTCAGGAGTTACTAGAAGATAAATAATGTTTCTAACTGAATTTAATAAATATTTACGAATACTTTTGTCATAAATAAGGTCTAAATAGTTAATATTATTCGAAAGGTGTTACAATAATATAAAAATGAATACAATGGTTAAGTTTAAATTAAAAATTTTTTAAAGAAAAAATTCCAACCTGCTGGGAAACAAAAATTTTCGACTTCTGGCAGATTATTAATTGGACTACTTGAAGTATTCTCAGTCAAATTTTCAGTAAGTTCAGAACTTCCTGGATGATTTAGAGAGTCACCATTAGTCAAATCAAAGTTTTCACCTTAAAAGAAATTTTAGAGTTAATTACAAATACGGAAATTCATTGTATAAAAACTAGAATAAAAATATATTTAATTATTTTCATAAATAGTAAAACTCATAGCAGAATTTCAATTATTTTTAATACAATTTTAATCGAATTCCTCGAAAAAAGTAATTATTCCTAAAAATTTTATTAAAATTTGTCGAAAGATTTCAATTACTTCCAGAAACTGTAAAAAAAACTCTTTTCAAGAATTTAATTATTTTCATTATAGCAAAATTCTTTAAATTTACGGAATCTTTCGAATATAAATTTAAAAAAATATTCTTCTTAATAATAGAATTATTTTTAAAAATTTTCATAAAATTAAAAAAAACAATTCAATTATTTTCAAAAATTCTTCCCAGAAATTCAATTATGTTTAAATTTTTTTTTTAATTTTTCTCAAAATTTCAATTATTTTTATAAACAATTTAATTGTTCTTCACAAAAGAATAATTTATAAAAATTTAAATAAAGTTCTCCGCAAGCATTTAATTATTTTCATAAATAATAATATTCTTTGTAAGAATTCAATTACTTTTATAAATAGTAAAATTCTTTGCACGCACAAATTCAATTAGTATCAATAAATTTTCAATTATAATTATGAACAGACAAGATTATTTTAAAAATTTGAAAAAATTCTTTGTTTAATTCAATTATTTTCCAAATTTTTTTATGAAAATAATTAAAAAACCATTATTTTGAGAAAATTCAAAGAAGCCATTGGTAGATTTATTTATGTTCGAAATTAAATAAATTAAAATTTGAAGAGAAAATAAAATATAAAACCGGGAATTTTCTTGAACAAAAAGAGGCAAAACTAAGCACTTTTTTCCGCATAAAACCTAAACACTATTTATAATAAGTCACTATTGATGGAGTAAATGTCAGTAACTCTCTTAATTTAAATCAGTTAAAAATCGTGGTTTTAACTGACAATCAGTGACTGACTTTTTGCTCCTGAATCTGTTAAAAATAAATGATTTTCGGTAAAAAAATAACTAATATTCAGTTAAAATTAACTAAAAAATTAGTTAAACTTGACTAATTGAATCAGTCAAAAAAAAATTTACTAAAACTTCAGTTCTTTTTAACTGACAATCATTTTTTTAAACTAATTATCAGTAGAAATATTATTTTTTTGAATTAATAATTGACTCTTTGCTTCTAAATCAGTTATTTTTAACAGATTCAAATTTAGAGAGAAAATTATTCCCAAATATCTTATTGACGGTCGTTTTTCATTAACAATTTTAGTTTTTAACGCTGTTTTAAAATGGAAATGTGAAAACTTAAAAATCTAAATTTGACTATTTGATCAGAAAAGTAGTTTTTAGTAGCATCATGCTAAAAAAAGTAGCCTCGAATTAAAAAAGTATCAAATAGTAGCTTTTAGTAGAAGAGTGCGAAGCCTGTCTTTTAGACTTCTTGCAATTAAAGGTCCTGTATTTGTCACTTTATATATTTAAAAATTTCTTTCTTACTTAATTGTAGTATATATATTTTAATATTTCACCTTTAAAAATGACATTCTTTTGAAGTTCAGATTGATTTGTAGTCACGATTTCGTCTTCTGAACTGTCACTTTCATGAGCTCGCGAAATCTTCTTTCTGGTCGTTGATAACTTCTCAGCATTTGCAATTCTTTCTGATTTTTTACCTTAAATTGTCATTAGATAAAATTACTACTATAAATAATAATAAATATTGTTTAAATCTTAATTAAAAGGTTTTGAGCTAGATACTTTGTTTTGTTTTTTTTATTCCAAATTTGTCCGAAATTCGATAACATATAATTTATCAAATTTATACCCGCGTGGAAAAGAAAGTACAGGTAAAATCCATCAAAATACATCAAACTATAAAAATATTTCAAGTACGTGAAACAGTTCGGGATTTTTAAATTATATTAAATAAAAAAATCAAGTGTCGAACTTTAGGAGTAGATCTTAAGTACAGAAAAGTAAATCACCGTTCAGGAGAGAAAAGGAAGATTCATTATTTTGTTGTTTTCTGGTGGTCTTTACGTTTATTTTCTTTTCTGGTTATGTCTTCTCTTTTAAATTATTAGAAATACCTTGTAAACTTTGAGATTGAGGTTGCTGTAAGACACGTGTTTCTTGTTCAATTGATGCACCGTATGTACTTGCAGTTGGTGTTTTGATCGAATTAGATTTAGGATGCTGCGGTATACTTTTATCTTGACTAGTTGTTGCAGCACTCTTATTTGCTGAAGGCTGTTCACCTTTATAGATTTTTTATAATATTATTCATTTATTAAAAAATGTGAATAAAAGCATTTAGAAGATTCCAAGAAGCACAGAATATAACATTACAATAAAGACAAATTACATTATATATTTAAAATTTTCTAGTGGAATGTTCCAAAGATCGTAAGGTAAGATTAAAATGTCCACCTTAAAAGAATATTTCAAGATAACATTGACGGAATGTTTGACGGTAATATTAAAGGAATATTCCAAAATGATTTTGAGAGAATGTTACACCGTAATGTTGACGGAATATTCCAAGATGATGTTAAGAGAATATTAGGGGAATGATTATATTACGTGCTGCTTGGGTATAATAGAAATGTGTCAAATATTAGGATAGAATATCACACCGATACTCATATAAGAAATTTTAATCAATTGGGTTATCATTGAGATATTGCGTTGAAAATATGTCTTATTTACTAGATATCATAATAACAGATAAATTTAAAAATAATATATTACTTTTTTCCCTTCCTTTCCTTGAAGTGACTAAATTTGATACAGGATTTAATTGAAGAATTTTCTTGTTTACTTCGGTCTGTATAGCATTTCTTTCCTTTGTCTTTCTTGAATTTTCCGTTTGTTTGTCACTTTTTTTTTTTGATGTTTTTGTTGTATTTTGTCCCTTTTTTAATATCGATCCCGCTGTTGAAACTTCCAAAGTTTCCAAGTAATTCTTATCTTCTATATTAAAAATGATTTAAGTAAATATATAATAATAATAAATAAATGTATAATCAGTAAATAATAAATAACATAAATATCTATAATAAACAAACTAACAAATTATAAATAGTAGATAAAATAATTAATAACAATAATATACACGTAATTAATCAATTTATTAATAGTAAATGAAGTAAATAAAAAAAGTAAACTGGTAAATAACTACTTCAAAAATAATACATAAAATAAATAATTAATAATTAATTATTAAATAATAAAGTAAAAAATAATGTAAATGATTGATAATAAATAAATTTTACTTTTAAATTTGTAATAAATTAGAAAACAATAATAGCTATAATATCAAGCAACAAATTGTAAATAATAGATAAAATAATTAATAATAATAATAATATTCACGTAAATAAAGATTTAATTAATAGTAAAAAAAATTAATAAGAAAAATAAAACAGGTAAATAACTACTAATAAAAAAATACATAAAATAAATAATAAATAAATTTTACTTTTAAATTTGTAGTAAATTTAAAATTAATAAATTAAATAAATAGCTATAATAACAAGTAACAAATTGTAAATAAAAAATGAAGTAAATAATAACAATAATAGATAACAAAATAATGAATGAGTAATAAATTGAAAATTGAAAAAAAATTTAATATGTAAATAATATATAAAATAAATAACAATGATAAACAAGTAAATAGTTAATAAATTGTAAATTAAAAATTTTTAAGTATACTAGCAATGCACAATTAATAAGTAATGAATTTAAAAATAAAGAAAATGATAGTTAATAAATAATTTATACTTTATAATTTTTTAATAAATTAGAAAATAATTAATAAAATAAATAGCTATAATATCAAGCAACAAATTGTAAATAATAGAAAAAATAATTAATAACAATAATATTCACGTAAATAATCAATTAATTATAAGTAAATGAAATAAATAAGAAAAATAAAACTGGTAAGTAACTACTATATAAATAATACATAAAATAAATAATTAATAACTATTTATTAAATAACAAAATAAAAATTAATGTAAATGATTGATATTAAATAAATTTTACTTTTAAATTTGTAATAAATTAGAAAGCAATAAATAAAATAATTAGCTATAATAATAAGTAACAAATTGTAAATAATAGAAGAAGTAAATAATAAAAATAATAGATAAGAAAATAATGAATAAGTAATAAATTGAAAATTGAGAAATAAATTAGATATGTAAATAATATATAAAATAAATAACAATGTTAAACAAGTAAATAGTTAATAAATTAAAAATTTCTAAATAAACTGGCAATCAACGATTAATAAATAATAAATTTATAAATAAAGAAAATGTTAGGTAATAAATAATTTATACTTTACAATACAATAATAAATAATAAATAATAATAATAATAATAATAATAATAATAATAATAATAATAATAATAATAATAATAATAATAAAAAATAATAATAATAATAATAATAATAATAATATAATAATATATATTTTTATACTTTACAATTCTCGACTATTTTTTTTAATAAATTAGAAAGTAATAAATAAAATAATTAGCTATAATAGCAAGCAACAAATTGTAAATAATAGATGAAATAAATAATAACAATAATAAACAAAAAAATAATTTATAAATAATAAATAAATATGTTTATAATTAACTAATAATAAATTTATAATTTATTTAATTTTTTATTTAACCTAAACAAAATTTCATTTACCACTTCTTGCTAAGATTTTTATTTTGAAAGAAATTCCTTCTTTAAGAAAATCGGTTTCCTCTCCATCACGTGTATACTTTAATTCTTCCGGTTCTTCGATAACACTGTACGTTCTCTCATTGATCCAAAAAATTAGACAGAATTTATTTCTTCTTGATGACATTTTGTACTTTTTCGAAGATAGTGACACATGAATAAAGTGAACATAATCACTTAAAATAAACGAAATGAAGGGCGACGAGAAAATTTTGAAACATGTATATATATATTTAATTTTTAAATTCTTTTCGAATAAAATATATTTATAAAATAAGGATTATTTAAAAATAGGTCTTTTATTTTTTTTATTAGAAAAAGTTTATTTGTAGTAATCTTTACAATTGAATTTTAAACAAAGTTGTAAGATATTTTTTTAATTTAATATTTTATCTTTTGTTTTATTTCAAATTGAAAATCAAATATTCATTAGTTAAAAATTGTCAACACAAAATTTACAAAAAATATGTCAAATTAATTTTGATTTAATAAATGTAAACATTTTGTGCTTGTCTTCAGTTTGAAAATTAAGTATTTATCAAATAATATTATGTTGAATAAAATTATAATTGATTAATTTTTAAGTTAAAAGTTTATGTCAATTAATAATAAAATTCTAACATGCATCGACACAAGGATTTTCAATATTATTCCTATTCAACGCAAAGGAGAATATTACAAACACTTTACCAGAATGAGGAAAATAATTCAAGTTCATCTGACTCTGTAAGATAATTTATTATAAATTAAAAATATTTTCTGAATACTTATTAAATGTGATCAGTGAACTTTTAAATTCTTTCATAATTTCTATTAATTGTTATGATTTTTGCAAAAAAATTGCATTGTGTATATATATATTCAGAATCAGTGTTTGTTAAAATTTAACAATATCTTATTGTGTTGAGATTCTTAAATGGCAAATATTGTGAATATTCAGTAAATTAATCTAATTTTTTCTAAAAATTGAATGCAGTAAGTATAAAAAATAATTATTAATATATATTCTTATTTCACTCCTTTCTGTGAATATACAATTTTGTATAATATAAATATGTATTATATTACTTTGAAATAGCTTAGTAAATATTTAAAGTTTTTTGCTCACAGCTCAAGAATTCATTACAGATTATTTATCGAAAAACACTTTTCCAAAAACAGATTATTTTAATTTGTGATTAAAAAATATTTCCTGGTTTTTACTTCCGGAAAACCTACATGGATTATCTCAATCTACTTGAGTTTACAATTAATCTAGTCTAAACATTATAGAATAATAATATTTTTCGCAGTGCTCTTTTTTCTGTTCCTATTGTCGATTAGGAATTTATTGAAATCATTGAATTTTCTCAGTTGTCTGTCTAC